TGTTTGCTACCCACTCCGGATATTGCACTTCTCTTATGGACCCTATCTTCAAGAGTTTATCCACTTCGTCGTTTACTATTTTTGCCCGCTCGACCCCAAGCTTTCTTCTTTTTTGTTTCACCGGTTTGAAGCTTGGATCTACGTTTAGTTCATGACAAATTATACCCGGATTTATACCCGGCATATCCGCTGCTGACCATGCAAACGACGCTTTGTTTTTCCTTAAGAGTTCGATCAAAGCTTCTTTTATTTGGCCAGTCAAGGTTGCTCCAATTCTAATTTTCCGGTCCGGCTTGTCTTCTTCCAGTGCCACTTCGACTACCACATCCTCTTTCTTCTGCCCACTAGGAAATTTGGTTTTTAGTCCTTCTTTTGCGGGCTTCGCTAATTGCTATTGAATCTTCATACGGTGGCTAGCTAAGTAACAAGTTCGTGAAGCTTCTTGATCTCCCCGAATTGTTTCCACCCCATTTGATGTTGGAAATTTGATACATTGATGGTACGTAGAGGGGACTGCTTTCATTCGATAAATCCAGGGAGTCCCGAGGATGATGTTGTAAGCAGCGGGCTTATCGAAGACAACGAAGTCCACGATTTTCGATACCTTCTTGGCAAGGACTGGGAGCTTGATTGTTCCGAGAGACATGGATGACTCGCTTGTGAATGCAACTAACGGAGATGGAGGTCCTACTATGTCTCCTCGGCTGATTCCCATTTTTTCTAGAGTACTTAAAAAGATCAAGTCGACCGAACTGCCTGTATCTATAAGGATCCTTGATACTTCGAAATTTGCGACATCAAGAGTAATGACTAGAGCATCGTCATGCGGTTTTTCGAGATGCCGTGTTTCTTTTTCATCGAATGATATTGATGCACCTTGAAAATCGACTTCTTCGCTTAAGCTTGCTTTGAGTGAGACATTTCGTCGATGCTTTTTGATTGAACTTATTGAATCTCCGCAAAATCTGGATCCTCCTATAATCACATTGATCTTCCCCTTAGAACTTCTCGGTTCTTCCTCGTTGGATAACCTTGGTCTTTTGGAATCCTGATCTTTGGAGTTTTCCTTTACTTCGTGGTACTCCTTCACAAAATCTTTTATATCGAATTTAGAAAGATCACCACTAGCCCAAAGCTCTGCGAGGTGCTTTTTAAGAACGCTGCAATCCTTGGTTAAATGTCCGGTTACTTTATGAATGTCGCAATATAGACTTTCATCACGGACCCAAGTGTTTGATCTTCCTTTCCCTTGGAATTGCTTCCCGACAGAATTGTTGAAGGGTTGCGACCCAAACTTCCTTGGTCCTTTGCTCTCTTTAGGCTCGAACTTCTTGGTAGGGACGGTGATTGCCGGCTTTTCTTGTTTATTCCGCTTGGCAAAACTTTCTTTTTCGTCTTCTACCTCCATCCAATTGTTTGCGCGGAAGAGTGCATCCTGAATTGTGTCTGGTTTATGAAGTATTAAGTCTTCTTTAAACCTTGAATCATGTCGCAATCCTTTTCGTAGGGCAGATAAAGCTGATTGCTGTGAGATTCTTGGGAGTTTTGATAGCACCCCTTTGAATTTGGTGATGAAAACTCGAAGTGACTCATTAGATCCTTGCGTTAAGTTCCAAAGATCGGCATCCGAAACGCTTTTATCCATAAGGATAGAATATTGCTTTAAGAACACGGCTGACAGTTCGTCGAAATTGCTGATCGAACTCGGCTCTAATTGGGTGAACCACATTAGAGCTTGGCCACATAGATTCTCCGAAAACAGCTTGCAATAGCCTGCATCTTCATCAGCTTCATCCAACTCGACTCTTCCTGCAGCGATCAGAAAGGCTGCAAGATAGCTTTTTGGATCCTCCAATCCGCTGTAAGGGTCCAACTTGAGCTTCCGGGAATCTTTGATCCTCAAACTTGCAATTCGCGGGATAAAAGGGGTTCGCCTTGCTTCTTCAATGACTCGATTAATGTCTGGCTCCGAACTTGTAGCCTGATGAAATTTTGATTTCATTTCTTTTAATTCCTGGCTAACCTTCTTCATGGTCTCGAACTGGTCGAGGTTCTCCTGCTCGTACTGAGCTGCAAATTGTTCTTCATCCCCGAGCTGCGTCTCTTCTTCCGACGTCTGAGCTACATTATTTGTAGCACCGGGAGTTGTTTGTCCGCTGGTTTCATTTCGTGCAGCGGAACTTGGCGAGTTGAATATCCCTCTTCGGGTTCCCACCGGGTTTCCTGCACTTAAAGAGCGAACACGAGTTTGTATATTATTGACGTTTTGACTAAGAGATACCTGGGATGTTTGCAACGTATCGACGGCCTTCTCCACATCCGAGAACTTTTGTGATATGTCCGACATGGTTTGCTGCATAGCTTTGAGGGTTTCGGCCAATGATGTTTCAACGGCGTCTCCTCCGGACATTGTCGCTTATCTCGGAAATGTAGAAAAGAAGAAATCTGCCCACTCAAGAATCCTGATATCCCCACAGACGGCGCCAAAATGTGGAAGTCGGATTCACACACTCAAGTATTTTGTTAAATGGGAAAGATTATTCTTGAGGGACAAAAATGAATACGTAAGAACTTGTAAATTGATACGAAAATTGCTATATTATTTCTCTCTTTTTTTTAGATGGTCCCCCCTTTACATGGCCACTGGCCTCTATATTTATACATAGCTAAACGACATTTAAAATGAGTAATTAAGTACAATTATTCCTTCTTAAATGTGTCCGTTTTGATTCTTCGGCTTTAATGCTCAACGTTTGAATTTGAGTTGACTCTGATCTTCACGGGCCTCGCCTCTTCTGGCCCAAATGTCTTCGAACCGACTTACCCGTGTCTTCTACACCGAACTCGCGTCATAGTGCAGTCACTTCGGGTTATCTAAATGGTGACAACCACTTCGTCCATCCTTTCGGCTCGCGGGTCCAATGGGCTTCATCCTTTATGGGCCATTATCCTGATTACGTGGCAATCTTTGGTTGGTCTCGTACTTCTGGTGCGGGATCCGACACCAACAAGTATAAATCAATTTAGGATTTATCTTGTATGTTGTTAATAGATTGATATCTATTGGTTTAGCATTAGTTTTATCTGAAAACTGATGTTTTGCAATACCTTGTTAAGTTGTTAGTAATTTAAATTCATACTGATAATAGGGGAAAAACGCATTACTATTTATATTAATTGACAAGTCACAAACATTTAAATCATAAGAAATGTAATGGATCCACAAACTGTAATTTTGAATAAAAAGAGGAATATTTTAACGACTGCACAATAATGGGTCTACTAATTGTACGTTATACGATCCAACAATGAGAAGATCCAAACTTAAGCAATACGACAATAAATTTTGAATTTCAACGACTTGTTAATGCAATTCATCAATTAAAGAATAAACCCCGTCTTCCTTGTTACCTCTCCAACAAACACAGAAGTGGTCTCAGGTTCATCTGAATAACATCAATCCACCACCAATAACCAAAATGCAGTCTCAAAAAACGATTCCAACATGTATGTAACGGAGCAAAATTAATTATATATAGGTGAGAAGGGCTAAAATATATAACACCAGAGAAAGTATGCCATTACTTAATTTTTAAAAGTAGTAAACTAAAGCTTTCAAGCTTACCATATAAATTATGCATCTATCCCATCTTTGTATATGATTTTAAAAATTTATATGATAAAGCTTCAATGTGTAATAATTAGAATTATTTTTATAGATTTAGTGATAATATATATTTCTTTAACACGTTTAAAACTACTCTGTAAAATATTATTTTAATTTAAATAAACTTTCAAATCATTTGCTTTAACATAAAGTAATTTGATTTTTTTTTAATATAATTTTAATGATTAAAAAACATTGGAAAAATATGTTAAAAAGAGATACCACATTTCAGATGCCAAATGTCAACAAATTAGAGAAAAATTCAAGTGGACCGTGCGTGTCTTTGTTTGGGTTACTGTTACGATGGGCTTTTAACCCAACTCAATTATCGAATTAGAGCTAGGTCATTATGGTAGGTATTTATATGAGACGAGTATCTCTATAACCTCGACGGGAGAATGAAGGAATTCTGGGGTTAGATATTTTCGTGTTCTTTGTTTATCCTTTGGGTCTGTTGAATCTCGCCTCCATATTTTTTATTTTTTCCCTGCTTACAGGAATTGAATTGAAACTTGGGGAACCCATTAAGCGTAAGCGTCGCTATGCTCCTCCAGGATCCTGTGTGAGTAAATCTCTCTCTCTCTCTCTCTTTTTCTTTTCTAATTTTATTTTCTCCTCTCTTTAGCTCACTCTATGATGATTTGCCTTTGGCAGTTGAGTGGTCGTCTCTACCAAGACATACTCCCCCCCACATTCGAGGAGCGCTACCGTTTGTATCGTATCTTAAGGAAACAATTGGCAAAGACAAACTCCCCACAGGCTACCGTTTGTCCAAGCAAATAATTGCTAGAAACAATGAATTATGTATTTACGACATTAGCTTACTGTTCTCTCTTCTTTCCCAATTCCCTGCATGTCAATAAGGTTGTTGTTTTTTCATATTGATAATAAAACTCAATATTAATATAGATCATTGGATGGATCTTCTCTTTCACAAGAGTTTTTGTTTCGGATTCCCGTTACTCTTTCTTCGTTTCAACGGTTTTGATTCATCAGAGTCCGATCATGAACATGTGATCAATTCCTCAAGAAGCCTTGAGAACCCGAAATCAATACCTGGGAGAAAAAGAAACAAACAGTATATGCAGTACAAATTAAAAATATGGAGTTTGTCTTTATTTTATAGTTACAAGGTGGTGATACGGACCATGTCTTATAGACGAAAAGTCATCGATGATTATAAAAGAAAGATACGTGTTTGGTTGGTTTTAAGCATATGGGCCCAATGGGCTAAGTTAGAAATAATTACGACCCGCTAAAGCAAAACGACGCCGTTGAGGGTAACGCTTGAGCGTTTGTGTGGTTTTGTTGAGCCTTTGATGGGCTATTGAGAATTCTTCGTTTGTTACAGTTGTTTTTATAGCGGGAACTCTCTCACTTATTTCTTCACCTCCGATTTGTCTTGTTCGCATCTCTGTGAACAAAACAAAACCCTAGAAATCTCCAAAATTTTCTAGGGTTTTTTTCCGCCTTTGGAGGATCACTGGTTCGTCTTTAGTCCTGATTACGTCTTTTGAACAGCTTATTAATCTCTGTGCCGGCTAGGGTTTCTTCACATCGCTAGATCTAATCCACTGGTTGATTGATACCCATTTCTTAATTTTTTCCTGATTGTTTGTTCTTTATGGTAAAAATTGAAATGGGAGCTGCACAGATTATAAACAATCGAGGGTTTTTTTTAGATTCTGTGTCCGTTGATTTTAGTCAACGATTGATTTGATTCATGAGCAACTAAAAGCTTTTGATGATGGTTAAAATGTGTACAGAAGGAGAACGTTTTTGTATGAGTATGGAGATGGATTTGTTTGCCACTCCAGAGAAGCAGAGACAACATCCTTCTGTGAGCTTGGAGAAAACTCCAGTGAGAAGGAAGTTGATAGTTGATGATGATTCTGAAATTGGGTCAGTCTATATTTTGTTAATTATTGTACTCACAACCCACGAGTCTGTGGTGTTTTTGAGTTTGAGCTAAAATGTCTGTGTTGGATCTGTATTGTGGTGTAAAAAGATCAGAGAAGAAAGGGCAATCAAGAACTGCTGGAGGTGGGCTTCGCCAATTCAGTGTGATGGGTCAGTGAATATCTCTCTTTCCTTTACTGCAAAAGCACCTTTTAAGTATTGTGTATTGCTGAGTTAAAAGTATTTAGTATTGTATTGGTTTTGATCAACTTCACATTCATGTGGATTTTCTCAGTTTGTCAGAAGTTGGAAGCCAAGAAGATAACTACATACAAAGAGGTAAAACTCTCTTCTTCATTAAAGAATTTGTGATGTAAACAATGAGTTGTTTTTATCTAGCCCAAAGATTTGTTGTGGTCTTGAAGTTTTCAAATCTAATATGCATTAGAATTGATCTTTATATAAACAAGTACTCACTTCAAGAAGCCTTGCCCTTATGTAGCGGCATTGTATGAGAAAATGTGAAAACCTATGTTTGAGACTGTGGCTCTTGTGATTCCAGGTTGCGGACGAGATCATTTCAGATTTTGCCACAATCAAGCAAAACACAGAGAAGCCTTTGAATGAAAATGAGGTACGGCGAGATGGCAAGCTGATATTGTCTGTCTGAGTTATTGAAAAAAATAAAAAGTTATAACAACATTCTCTTATGTTCAATTAGTATAATGAGAAGAACATAAGGCGGAGAGTCTATGATGCACTCAATGTGTTCATGGCCTTGGATATTATAGCTAGGGATAAAAAGGAAATCCGGTGGAAAGGACTTCCTATTACATGCAAAAAGGATGTGGAAGAAGTCAAGGTTCAACTTCCAAGCTTGCCCTTTCGATTTTCTTCTGTTTTATTGCTCTCTTGATCGTCTTCTTTACTATTCTTTTTGGATATCGGATACTTGTATTGGCAGATGGATCGAAATAAAGTTATGAATAGTGTGCAAAAAAAGGCTGCTTTTCTTAAAGAGTTGAGAGAAAAGGTGAGTCTCTTCCATTTTTTTATGTTGATGGAAATCTAAATGCAAGACTCTTACAATTCAAGATCTTGTTTTGCATTGTTAGAGACGATAAAAATTATTGATTTTGCATGTATTCTAGAATCTGTAAGCATCTGTTTACTTTGAATTTAGCATTTAGTAGTAACCGCATATCTACTTCGTGTTTTAATCATTTTCTGTTGTCTTAATGAAATGATAATGGTCTTTCTACGTTTTGTTTATATGTTTTCTCAAATGTTGTCGTCTTCAGGTTTCAAGTCTTGAGAGTCTTATGTCGAGAAATCAGGAGATGGTTGTGAAGACTCAAGGCCCAGCAGAAGGATTTACTTTACCATTCATTCTACTTGAGGTACTTTGAATCTCTTGTCTTCCTTAGTTTCTGTCTCATGTCTCCGATATCCTTATCTGTCTCCATCTCAAATCACTCTATAGACAAATCCTCACGCAGTAGTGGAAATCGAGATTTCTGAAGATATGCAACTTGTCCACCTCGACTTCAATAGGTACTAAACAGCATTTTCTCAAATCAAAATCAATTTTGTTATCTCTTAATAATCAGAGAATGAAATCTTCTCATTTTATTTCCCCTTGACTTTGCTGTGAGCAGCACGCCTTTCTCGGTGCATGACGATGCTTACATTTTGAAACTAATGCAAGAACAGAAGCAACAACAAAACAGAGTTTCTTCGTCTTCATCTACACATCACCAATCTCAACATAGCTCTGCTCATTCTTCCTCCAGTTCTTGCATTGCTTCTGGAACCTCAGGCCCGGTTTGCTGGAACTCGGGATCCATTGATACTCGCTGACCAAGAGAACCGAGATACTATTCCCAAATTCTTCAAGAAGAAGAAAAAGAAGAAGAAGAGCAAGTGATGATCTAATTGGTATACTATAAAATTATACATCTGGTTTAATGTTCAACTGGGAGAGACTGTAAAATGACAATTCATAGGCCAACAAAAATGTTTGTTTATCCAATTTTCCTTTTTATTGGAACTTCATGTATTATTTCGCCAGAAACCGATGCGGTTTACTTTTATTTAAAATTATTGATTTAAACCAAACTTAGCCGAACTGAATCGACTGGCTATGTGGTGTACTGTATGTAAAAATTAACGATTTTAGTTTCCGGTTAGGTCCGGTTACCGAAATAAGTGAAGGCGATCTAGTTAGATTCAATTTACGCGCCCAATAAATAGCGCGTGTACTACGAAAATTCAAAATTCTCAATGCCATGCAAAAAAAAAAAACAAGAAATATGTTGGAAAAGGGAACTAAAAAAAAAGAGACATCGCGGCGGTTCGAGGGAAAGAAAAGTGAAATTGGTAGGGGACATTTGGAAGAATGTTGGACTGTTTTAATTAATTTACTTTATTTACATTTTATAATTATATTTTCATTAACTTAATCTACTCATTTTCTAATATATTTAATCATTTCATAATATATTACTAGTAATTAGTGTTGGCCCATAAACAAGTAGAACCTTGTTTATCGATCGATCTTCTTTGTATTTTGAAATGAAATGATTATCGAATTTGAAGAAGTCGAAATCTTATGAAGTGATTATTGATCTTGAAGAAGTAGAACCTTGTTTCTTGATCATTTGTTAAGATTTATCGTATCATTTGCTTCAAAATTTGTTGGCTCATTATTGATATTTTGATATAATTTACGTCTATATATATATAATTGAATTCCCAAATTTATCGTAGCTGATTCTGTAGATAAAATAATTGGTGATCATTCCACTCAATCACGATTAGATCGTCGCTGAGTATTACAATCTGATCGTTTGGTGAGTTTTCCGACACTCTTTGATTTTTTATTTTATAAGTGTTTATTAATAATTATTGATTAATTAATATAAGTGTTTAATTACTCAATTAATTAAAGTTGAGGTATATAGACGTACCAAAATTCAAACAGAAAAATGTACCAAATTTTCTCTTCTGTAAATAATAAACATAACTAAAAGCATAATTTAGCTGCAAAAAAACATATAGAACATCATCTATTTTATTTAGCAATAGATATCAGCTCTAATTTTCTTATACAAGAACTAAGATATTACAATTGCAGTTTTTTTCGTGAATACTACCAATCACCTAGACCCAACCCCGTTTATTTTGTATTTGATATTTTGCATGGTAATAAAATGTTTGACATAATTTTCGTTATTAATTAGTGGTATCTTTTTATGTACACAAAAATAAATATATAAAAATTGTCATGAATTTTACCGACTTTAATTTTTGAAACACGACCAGTCAAGCTTAATTAGTACGTACTTTAATTCCAATATATATAATTAGCACATACAGTACAGAAGTAGCAGTATTGCCAGAAAGAGAGAATCAGAAAGAAACTTATGAGTTAAGCAATTGAACACACTCACTCTCCTCCACCTTCCCAAAACCCTAAGCAAATATGTATATAATATATAAAACAAAAAGAGCCTCGCAATAACACTGTGGACACACTCAAATCATATTTTACTCATCAATAAATATTTAATATAATATTCAAACATATTCCATATATATATATATATATGTATATGTGTGGGTATGTATATATATGAATAAAGGTTCTTCCTTTACCTTTGCCTTCTCTCTCTATCTTTCTCCAAGCTCTCATCTCCTCTTCTTTTCTCTCTCTAAAGCTCTTCCCTTTGTTTTTATTGATGTGATTCTCCACTTCTTCATATAAGCCTTCACCAAAAAAAAAACAACTTTAGTTCCTTTATTTGCTCAAAAACAAAACAAAACAAAAAAAAAAAACTAAAGAGAGAAGATATCATCAAAGAAGAAAGATCGAAGATGGTTTTTACTTCATTTCCTACTTATCCTGATCATTCATCAAACTGGCAACAACAAGTAAGTTCATGATCCGATTTTCACTTCTTTTTTTTCTTAATGGTTTTTTTTTTGGGTTTCTTGGTTTTATAATTTATGAGAGTACTCAAGACCAATTTAAAGAAGAAAAAACATAAAGAGAGATTAAACAAACAAGAAAAGAGGATAATAATATTCTTGTTCCTTTTGTCACTTTTAATCTTTGTATATCTGTGGTTGAATTTGAATATACTCATAAAATTAATTCTTTCTTTCCTTCTTTATTAATTTTTCACAAATTTTAATAACTTTTTGTGTTGTTTTTGAATCATTTCTTCCTCTCTTTAGCATCAACCAATCACAACCACCGTTGGATTCACGGGAAACAACAACATCAACCAGCAGTTTCTTCCTCACCACCCCCTCCCACCGCAACCGCAACCGCAACAAACGCCTCCGCAGCTTCACCACAACAACGGTAACGGTGGAGGCAGTGGTCCCGGTGGACCTGGCGTGTTAATCCGTCCAGGTTCGATGGCGGAAAGGGCAAGGCTAGCCAACATACCACTGCCTGAAACAGCCTTGAAGTGTCCAAGATGTGACTCAACCAACACCAAATTCTGTTACTTCAACAACTACAGTCTCACTCAACCTCGCCACTTCTGCAAAGCATGCCGTCGTTACTGGACACGTGGCGGTGCTCTAAGGAGCGTTCCCGTCGGTGGCGGTTGCCGTAGAAACAAAAGAACCAAAAACAGCAGCGGTGGAGGTGGAGGTGGCGGTAGCACCAGTAGCGGTAACAGCAAGTCACAAGACAGCGCCACGAGCAACGACCAATACCACCACCGAGCCATGGCTAACAATCAGATGGGACCACCGTCTTCTTCATCTTCTCTGAGCTCGTTGCTGTCTTCTTACAACGCAGGATTAATCCCCGGACATGATCATAACAACAACAATAACAACAACAACATACTTGGACTTGGATCATCTTTGCCTCCTCTCAAGCTCATGCCTCCTATAGACTTCACTGACAACTTCACCTTACAATACGGTGCCGTTTCAGCTCCTTCTTATCATATAGGCGGTGGAAGCAGCGGAGGAGCGGCGGCTCTTTTGACCGGTTTTGACCAGTGGAGATTCCCGGCAACAAACCAACTTCCTTTAGGTGGTTTAGACCCGTTTGATCATCAAATGGAGCAGCAGAATCCGGGTTACGGATTAGTTACCGGGTCGGGTCAGTACCGACCTAAGAACATTTTCCATAACCTTATTTCCTCTTCTTCTGCTTCGTCAGCTATGGTTACAGCCACCGCGTCGCAATTAGCTTCAGTGAAAATGGAAGATAGTAACAATCAGCTCAACTTATCTCGACAACTTTTTGGAAACGAACAACAGCTCTGGAATATTCATGGCGCTGCTGCAGCATCCACCGCAGCCGCAACAAGTTCGTGGAGTGACGTCTCTAATAATTTCAGTTCTTCTTCTACTAGCAATATCTAATCAATCATCTCTCTAAGGAATCTATATGTGATGATGATGATGCTTTTATTAATTTCTTATTGGGTGTGGTATGATCTTATGTACTTAGTTTGAAGTTAGTACATCGATCGATCTATATACTAGGTTTTTGTTTTTTCTATTACATTTTCGTTACTAGTTTTGGTTTTTTTTTTTTTTTTATGTTTGGATATCTTGGTTGGTGTTTTAGGTTTAAAATTAGGGTTTTTTCTATTGCAAATTTATTTTTCATTTTTTAGTATGACGGTATGATGATCATACATGCGTGTAATGTGTTCTATTATATAACATATTTTTATTTATTCAAAATATTGAATGAGGTTATATATACATATCCTCCTGTTGCTTTTTTTGTTTATCGAAATCTCTAACCAACTTAGATTGCAGCACATAAATCAAAGTATTTCTGTCGCAGCAGCTATAAGCCTATAATCATGATCCATATCACTAGCTACGAGAAGGCATAATATTAAGAATGCATATTTTTGTTGGAGTTGAGAGAGAATATTTTAAGTATAACCATGAAAAAGTATGACACATTTTAACACTTAGAATTAAAATGTCTCAAAACTAAAATGGAATTTTAAGTTGGCGACTTTTAATGTCTGTCACAAAATTATCTATTATAATTTATGATATTAAAAAGAAAATTACAGTTTTCTGATTATTCACCTAAAGACTCGATTCTACTACGTACATGTGACTTGTAAGTATTTTATGTTTCTTTTTAGCATATGATATGAACTATATGTCATTACCAAATATTGTGGAGAGCTTTTGAGTCTAGTATCTCATAAACAAATCAAAACTATAGTTTATGTAATCGGTTCAAATTGCATAGTTTTCTGATTATTCCATTTTTAAAATTATAGAGTCTTTTACGGAATACTTTAATTAGACTTTTTGATGATTTTGATGTAAAGCAAAGAAGAATCTATTTGAGACTTTATCTACAAGCTAGCTATTAATTTGAACATCTAACTAAACTACGTATACTCGAATTCGTAGGTATTTTGAACTAAAATTTCAATTTAACACGCATTACTACAACAATGAAATTCAATTATTGTGACTTTGTTAATATTTTGTTCCACATATCATTAATCATCACATATGATTTTGTAACAATTATATTCATGACATATATATATATATATATAATATATATATATATATACCAGAATTTTGAAAACATGTGATGATTTATATATCTGCTACGATTATATTTGAATAAATGTTTTGTGGTAAAACAAAAATTAATAGGAAAACGTGTGTATATATATATATATTAATATATATTTCCTCTGTTCCTTCAAGTTTGATGTATTAGTGTTTTAGGTTTTTTCCACAAAGATTGATTTTCTAGATTTTTTCTTTATTTTTAATTAATTGATATTAATAAATCGTAGATTTCAAGACGTAATGATTAAAAATAATTAACTGTTTCATATTACTATAGTTCATAGTTTATTAAAACATGTTTAATAAAAACAAATAATTATCAAATGATTATTTTTTAAAATATGTGAAATTTCTAGAAAATCAATTTTCTATGAATAAAGGGAGTATTACTATGTGATAGTGATTAATTTAGAATGATTGTAATGGTATATTACCTTGCTGTTATTGCATCAATCATAGACTCATTGTGATTTATAATGATATGGTGCAGAACAGATTACTTGAAGTAATTAATTAAGGGACAATGATTTCGTTATGCTCTGCAAAGGAACGTTCTTCGTGACTCCCGATAAATATTGTCTTGCTGCCTAATTCATTTATTTTTATTCACTATTTAGACCATCTACTATAAAATAATATTTCTCAATAAAGTTCATTATAAATATACGTATATGTGTGTAGCGGAGACTGGAGACCAACCCGCTAGGCCGCTATATACCATAAGATTAGTTTTGCGCAATGCATGCATGAGCATGATCGTCGATAATGCAAATCGGTTTCGAAAACGACAAAACAAGATTTGTCGACTAAAAATATAATCATCTTATATATCGAAAGGATAACAAATGTAATGATAAATTATTATAATGTGTTATGTGTGTCAAAGTATGAAATATATATTGCTATTAGTTTAGTACCGTAGTTAAATTAATAAGGAAAATAAGTATTGACTAACATATAGATACACATCTAGACAGATAATATATTAGTATTAGTTTTATTTTATTTTGTCAACAACGATTTTTGAGGAATGGTGCTTTATCAACTAGAAGACTAATTTTGGAGTAAATGAAAAAAAAAAAAAAAACACTGGATAACATCGATAAGTTGTATATAATACAGGCTATCTTTGTGTAATTCTTAATTAGCACATAAAAATTAGAATTAAGGAAACTTCCAAGTTCCAAACAATATATAACCTATAAAGTCTTCAAGTATACCGTTTTATCGAAGACGTCAATTGAATTTAACTGAATTGGTTGCTAAAAAATATACGAGTGATTAATAATGTAATATGACTTCAATCGTTTTACAAATATCATTTGTGAAAATTCGAACAATAAAAACATGAATTCATTATCGTAACATAATCGACTCAATATTTTCCTAATTTAGTGTAGTTCTAGTTATAAAGGTTTCAAAAACATTATTGAAATAATTAGCTCCATTAGTTGTACTAACATAAAATATAATATTTCTTCAAAGAATTTCAGATAATTACTGTAGTGAAAGAGACTGAAAAATCTAACGTAGTAAACGACGACCGAATCAATGTCGGAACAATGAGCAAGAAAAACGACGCGCCTTGGGAGAGAGCAAGAGGCTCGTGACCATCACGGACCACTAGGCGACAAAAGTAACGGTGCGTCAGGGAGGTGGGAGCCCACGCGCAAGAACCGAGAGATTCGATCTTGAAATTACACGCGCTTCGATGCACGCGTGAGAATTTGAGCCCAAAACAAAATCCCAAACTCTGTACTTCTGTTTTTTTTTGGTAACATGTGACTGACAACTAAACTCTCTGTTTTTACACATCACCAACTTTTTTATTTTTAACAAAAATTTACATTTTCAATATCTAAAATACCTATACTGTTTATTAAAGATTTTTTTGTTAAATTATTAATTTAAATTCCAGTAAATGTATACAACTTAATTTTTCTTTAGTTGAAAGTCTATATATTGACGTTATTCAAAGAAAAAAATATATTGGCAAATGTAATGCTTCAATTCCGTAAGGAGAGGGTATATATATGTCTCGGTATTTAAATTCAACAAGTTCTTAGTACAGCCAATCATAGGATAAGAAAACGAATGGTTGGAATTATTTCCATTTTATCTTCATGGTCGTATACTCAGTTTCATAAATATTTTATTCGTATCGAAGTCTTAGATTCGGTCATAGGCTATGACTCATAGTCATAACATAGGTAGTAAAATTGGTACAAACCAGTCCTTGAAGGCGGACCAAGAATCTGAATAATGTTTTTCCAAATTGGGATATTATAGGTAACTATTTGTTGAGGATAATAAGAATCACATATTAAGGCCACGTGGAAAAAGATGATATGCGAGTCTTACAAGTTTAAAGTTGTTTGGTGCTAGTAATATTTAGTATAAGAACAATATGTGTACTCACAAAATTTAACAATGAAAACTACTTGTCACTACAAGTCTAGCGCATGGAACCTTCTTGGCTCAAAAATCCAAGCCGGATATGTACATTATAGCATCATATATTACATTTTTTGCACCCGCAAAAATAATTTTTGTTAAAAGATGCCTCCATGTATAGTTTTCTGTGAAGATCATTCTCTCTTTACAGTAACTTCGCAGCTTTTACTTTTTTGAGAGTAATTCCTTCGCTTGACTGATCTCGTTTACTCATTAATAGTGTGGCAGTGTAGTGTTGTGGTACTTGGACTTAAGGCTCCAATTGGTAAATATAAAAACATACCGAAGTCTGTGCAAGAATAGTTGTTGTAGGAATGAAGTGATAGAAATATAGAATCAATGAAATATATTGTATTTTCTTCCATAATTTTATAATACTGTAAGATTGGTAAAATTCCACATTGCGGTATGCTATTCTGCGTAATAGTAGTAATGTAGTATCGACCATGATTCAAATATCCAATTATGTGAATATTTACAGACTATGACCTATCTATAGTACATGTGATGGATATTTAGTTGTCCTATGAAATTTTCTAACTAAGATGAAAATTCCATTTTAGTGTGCCCTCTCTCTAGCTAGTCTTTGCCAGAATTTTATTTCTGTTATTCCCCCATTATAAATTTTGGCCAACCTAGAAAAAAAAACAATGAGGGTCCCTCAGTTTGGGACCTTTTTGATATGGCTAAGTAAAATTGTCGACGATTTCCTTAACAACGTTATGCAACTCCTACGCCTACACTTATCATTACCATTGACAATCTCCAGCTAATTAGCTCCTATGTATACATTTTTTTTTTTATCTAATGATTATAGATATAAACAATTAGTAACAAAATATAGTTAATTACATTACTATTCTTGTGTTGACATACTAATTAAATTATTAGATAGGTCCTTCATTTCGTCAAATAAAATTAATCAATAAATTTTAATTGATTTTGTAATCAAAATATAGTTTCAAGGTAATTAATGCGATTAAACTTCGAAGTATAAAGTTTGCAAGCCTTATTGTTTTGCCAGCCTAACATTTCGCTGACTCAAACCAAAATTATTGTGCACAGTTTGATCCAAAATTCCAAATTATCCGAATTTAAGAGCTTAGAGTATCTGAATTAATTAGGATGTAGATGAATAATCAATAATACATCTTAGATTTTTATTTGTCTTCCTTACCTTACTTAGATCATTCACATATATTTATCTTTGTCTGTTTACTGGTAAAAGAAGTTTTCTTTTCTTTTTGTTCACTTGTCCCAATCGTTGCCCACAATCAAGGCGGGGCCTTAGGTTAGTCACCACTTTTACGTTCAATTTCTCACATATTTGACGTCACAATGGATTAATATATGTGATTGGTACATGCACCAATCATTTTCAAATTTGTACAACAATTTGATTTCCTTTAATAACACAAGCCATGCACCTCAAGTTGCTTTCCTTTTTAACTTGACCAATCACTTAGAACCACATTTAACACACGTATGTGTACCAACACATATCCATAAACGTTCATATGTTTCTTTTTTTTTGTTATAAGGATAATTTCGTCGTACCTTATAGATCAGTCTATATTTTAATTTTTTTACCCATAAAAAAAAAAGATCTGCCATGGTGGGCGATAATATATGATTGTGACGGATGATGATGACTGCCCATAAAAAGTTGCTTGGCCCTTAAGAAAACACACGAGGCTTAATAAATCATCACATATTAATATAGATATATATATCACAATATCATAACTTTGTGGACCGATTATGCTTAACTCACTACTTAGAAAGATCACCAACATTTTCAACTTTCAAGCACATCAACATCGATTAAGCAAAATGATCATTGTAACGAATATTTGAAATCTCCAAGTAGGACCAGACGTAGCCACACCGGTAGACAAGTTGCTCATAAGTCATAATGGTTTCGTTTCAACATTTAATAATCTCTGCTACAAAATATCCAACGGAAACATAAGGCAAAGTACTAAAAACAGAAAACTGGTTTTTCGAAGAAACAGAGCGCTGAACCAGAGTCACTGCATCACTTCTTCTTCTCGGATGCACCACCACCACCAGACCTGCAAAGAAACAAAAACCAAGCGGAATCAGCAAGTAGAAAAGCAATTCATTACGAAGGAGAAAAGTCTTTTTAGTTAGATGCATAATTGATGTTTAGTTTGATAAGAGAAAAAGAGGAGACCTCATCTTGCGGAGAACACTAGACATCTCCTCTCTCTTTCTCTTAGCTCTCTTGTGAGTTCCCAACTTTCTCTTGGCAACTTTAAGAGCTCTCTTGTCTTTACCAACCTTCAAAAGCTCAGTGATCCTCTTCTCATAGGGAGCTTGACCCGCAACTTCCTTGATGAGACTCCTGATAAAAAGAGTCCTTTTGCTTGTTTTCTGGTTAAAAAATACTCATATCAGAAAACCCCTCAAATGACATAATGAAAAGACAACATTCGACTTCAAACAGAGACATTACCACAAAATGAACAAAAACAAATAGAAAGAGTGTACAATAGTGAAATCAGATTTTCAACAAGGCTACTAAGAATCATACACACAATAACAACATACTGTGATAAAGACATGAAGACAACCTTCTATAATTTCAATAATATGTAGTAATAGCGATTCCATTGATTTGTTTTCCTATTAGACTCAATAAATAGAGTGAATAAAGCAAGGAGCCTTAGAAGCTCATGATCTGGACCTAATCTCCTACTATGAACCTTAGAATTCTATCTAACCAATCACAGAAGTTAAAATATGGAACTAAGTAGAAGAAAAAAAGAGCTAAAGATTAAGAAACATTAGAGATTACCCCTTTTCTGTTGTTAGGGCGAGGAGGTTGCTCGCGTTTGGTAACAACATGTCCTTTGTTTAGCCCCACGAATAAGCCTGTCGCCACCATTTTCTCTGCAAATTCAAATAATATGACAAAATAATAAGATGAAGAAGAAAGTCTCAGATCTACTCTTGTAATTGCAATATTCTCTTAAAATCCAAAGCTATATATACTCTAATAGCATCAGCTCAAATCCAGTATCGATTCTACGGACGAACGATTCAATTTCTCAAAACGGATTCATAAGCAAATCGCGATGTACTCTAGTAGTAACTCGTTAAGATTTGTCGATTCCACAACTTTCACACTAATCGAAAGAGACTAAGTATGAAATCGATAAAGCGAAGAGATCTGATGATCACTCACCTGAGTTTGAATCTCTGAATGCGCCGCCAGGGAAGTCGAAAGAGAAGAGGAATGTGAGAGAAATCGGTTTTTATAGTCTTCTCCAAAATAAAGGAATTAGGGTTTAGTAATTTGCAAGAGCTTCTTTCTATATTTCCAATTATACCCCTACCTACCATTGGGCCCAGACGAAATAGTTTGTTAATTATAAGGAATTGTTTCTATTTTTATTGGGCCTTTTTAGATACGAAAGTTTCTCTCTTTCAACAATGCCCAATAATGATATATTGATGCAACTCATCATGCAAAGAAAAATGTTTTTGAACATTTGAAACTCAATTACAAAATAATAGTACAATCAGAATCTGTTGCGTCAGACCATTAGGAAATCATATTACACATCGCATTATCTTTTTTAACTTTTAAGGCACAATTGGCTATTAACTTTCGGACATTCACATAGTCGGTGTGGACCGTATGGTTGATCCGACGGCTCGTCTCTCCACCATGAGGAAGTGTCCAAGAGACTGCACATTGTTACGACCATCATTGTCTTCGTTTATAATCCTGTTGTGGGAAATGACAGTGGCATTTGTGCTTAGCTTTGAACATATAGAGAAAATCCATGGCTTGTAGTAAGTTTTGAGATTCTTCTGGTGTTGATGGTTTCTAGCAGTACTTTGATCATTCCTTGTTCGGTTTGATCTTCTTGAAAGTTCAAGAAAGCTTGATATCCCGATTAGATTTCCTAGGGTGTAGCTCCTATCGCGGAAAAATGATTCCATCGACTGACAAAAAATAGATGTGTAACATGCTTTATTTAGTGTGTATATATACGGGCTTAAAAAACCAAAACTTTGGGACAGCATAAATCTCAAAGTTGTTGCGATGTTTGCTTCACAAAAGAGGTCAATATTTGAATTGTGATGGTGAATGGTGACCAAAAAGAGAAAATTAAGTATAAACAAAAATCTGTTGTAGAACCAAATATTTAGAGTAAAATGCCGAAATCCTTAGGTTTAAAACATAATTTATTTGTTAAACTTTCTAATCAGAAAATTGGCTGAATGACAGAAAACTGAACACAATATATTTCAAATTTTGCGTGAATGGAAAAAAAATTGCGTGTAATCACAATTATTCTCTTTGTATTATAGGTAAAATTGTCAATGATTTCACTTTTTAATATTGTGTGATCAAAAGACAAAAGGTGCCAATATATTCGAGAAATTGCTTTGATTATTACTTTCTACTAGTATAACTTTATTTTGAGAATCAACAATTTCCGACAAACGTGCCCTTTTCAGACAAAACCATCACAGCTTTAAAGTGCATACAATTGGGTCACGTTCGCTCTGAAGTCATCTCAACCAACAACAACAATACTATTTTAGTAATTTCATTTTAATAAACTGAAAGAGAATGTGAGGCGAAAAAAAAAAAAAAAAAAAAAAAAAAAAAAAACTGAAAGAGAATGTGAATTCAATAGATCCTAACTAGTAGTCAAAGTAGAATCATTGTCTTCCTTCTAAATTTCCATGAGAAGAAAAAAGAACCGTAGACAGTTTCAAACGGCTCATCAATTAATATGCAAGAAAACGAAAAACAAAGATAAAACTGAAATAAACTATTTTATCAAGCAAAAAATATGATTGATATTATTAAAATAATTCATTGATCTATCCGAATATGGGAACAAATTAAAATATGAAATTGTGGAGGGATGTGTAAGGATTCAACCAAGAAAAGAATCTACCAAGACCCGTGAATAGTTTACTATATATTATATAGTCTATCTATGAAATGTGGTATGTGTGTACGCATATATATTTATATTATAAGTAGATAAGTGTATATGTATATCTGACCTGAGAATCAAGATCGGAGGAAGAGTGAGATGAGGGAGAAGGAGACAAGAGAGAGGTGAAGGAGATTGAACCAGCCGAGACTTGTTCATGATGATGAGCTCCTCTTGTGAGTCCTCCGATTCTTGCATTTACTGGCCTCAGACCCAATGGCCATCCTTCCTCCTACACAATCACATCCATTACACATGGTGTATACATATCTATATGTATGCGTGTGTATGTATATAAGGCTATTGTGTTAAAGAACGAGAGAGAAAAGAAAGAAAGAAAGGATTAAGAGTATACCTGGTGAGCCATTGAAGTTTTGAGACTCAAAGGGAGAGAGAGAGAGAGATTTGGTTGAGTAAACTAAGGAACAAAAGATGTAGCTAATGAAGAAAGAAAAAATGATGTGTTGTACATACTTTTTGGAGAGTGAAGACTTGATTTATTTTATTTTGGTAATTAATCAAAACTCGAAACTATTATTAAAAATGAAAGATATTGGCTTCGCCCGGGTTCGAACCGGAGACCTTCAGTGTGTTAGACTGACGTGATAACCAACTACACCACGAAACCATTTTGACTATCATTTACAATTTTACTTTATTCAATAGTATTGAAACATAGTAATAATACTGGCTCCAATGTAAATGGACAAACCAAATCGTCTGGTCTAATAATGTTGATGGTTGCATCAATAAGACAATAACTATCATATTTATAGTTTAATTTAGGAAAATCAAGATTTATTTAGAAAACAGTATCTGGTTTGTATGAAGTTTTGGTTATCGACTTGAAATTTCAGGTTTAAATTAGGTTTTTCGCAATAATGTCATCTACATTGAATAATAAACACATGAAGAAAATTATCTGAAAATAAAGAAACAGAGATTTTTTTTTTTTTTTTTTTTTTGTAAACCAAGAAACATAGAATATATACTTATAATGTAGAGTACCATTACCGTAGGAGCTCGAAATTGAGAAAAGGAGAAAAGAAACTGGTATGGACAAAGACCATATGCTTCGTCCAATGTACCTCGAGAGACAAAACACTTTATCCTTTTTGGACCACATCATTCTGTTTTGTAAGCTTTTTATTTCTTTCCTGTTAAAAATTGGGTTCAACAATCTTTTTTTTTTCCGCCATTTTTGGGTTCAACAATCAACATACAAAAATGTTCAAAATAATCAGTTGATTCTAAACTCGTTGTAATGTATTTACATTCTTCTAAGTTCTAGTTTTAAACTAGTGATGTGTTAGTCAGAAAAGCCCATGCTGGCAATAGCATGAGCTCGTATGGACATGCTTATTTTATAGTCCAACACCGAAACTATACTAACTTTGAGAAACAAATAAAATCAAAGTTATGATTGCTAGAACTTAGAATATAAAGAACAACACTTCTTTATTAGATTTAGAAACTCTCACAAAACTAAATCTCTTCTCTCTAAGTCTCATGGAACATCTCTCCATGAACCCTTGTATTTATATAGAACTTGGACATCTCCCAAGTCTATTTGGATTTGGTTAAACACAAACTCTATCTAGATACTTTATCATTATCTAAAACATATTTGTGAATATCCTTACTTATCTCTAGAAGCTTCTTCTTCTAAGAGATAACTTCTTCTTTAAGTCTTGAATTATCCAACATTCTCCCCCTTAATTCCAACTTGAATTTTGGGAGTCTTGATCTCTTCAACACCGATTAGGTCCCGCATTTCCTTGAACTTGAATCTTCCTAATGGCTTGGTAAGAATGTCCGCCTTTTGGACCTCTCCGGGTACATGCTCAACTTCGATTTGTCCGTCTTCCACACATTCCCGAATAAAATGATACTTCGAAAGTATGTGCTTACTTCTCCCATGAAACACCGGATTCTTGGTCAAAGCTATAGCCGATTTATTGTCAATCCTTAGTAAGACCTTCTCGCCTTCAACGCTTAGTATCTCACTCAACAATTCTTTAAGCCATATAGCTTGTTTCGCGGCTTCCGTAGCTGCCATGATTCCGCTTCGCATGAGGACAATGCGACCTTAGGTTGCTTTTGTGATGTCCAAGTAATCGGTGATGAACCAAAATAGAAAACGTGTCCCGCGGTGCTTCTTCCGTCGTCAATATCAACATTGTGACTACTATCACTATATCCGGTGATTCTCCTTGACCCGTCTCTCTTGAAAAACAAACCAAAGTTTGTTGTTCCTCTTACATACCTTAATATATGCTTGACCGCAATCCCATGAGAATTTCTTGGACTTTGCATATACCGGCTTAGAACTCCAACAGCAAAGGAGAGATCCGGTCTTGTGTGTAGGAGGTACCTAAGACAACCAATGGTTCGTCTATACTCGGTTGCATCAATCTCTGGTTCTTCTTCCAACTTGTTGATCTTTTGACTTGGATGCATTGGTGTATGAGTCAAGTTACACGATTCCATCTTAGCATTAATAAGAATTCCTTGAGCGTATCTTTCTTGCTTTATCTTTATCCCATCCACTCCTTGAATCACTTCTATGCCAAGATAATACGTTAACTTCCCTAGGTCCGACATCTCGAATTTCTTTGACATATCTTCTTTGAATTTGTTGATGACCTTAAGTGTGGTTCCCGTCACAAACAAATCATCCACGTAGATAGCCACAATCAAGACGTCCTTCTTGTCGTTCTTCCGATATACCGTCGGTTCCTTGATATACTTGTTGAAGCCCATCTCTCTTAAGACTTGGTCGAGTTTTACATTCCATGCTCTAGGAGCTTGTCGTAAGCCGTATAGAGCCTTGTAAAGTCGATACACTCGATCTTCCTCACCTTTCTT